AAGAAAGAAAGAATTAAAGGAAGAGAGATAATGAAAAGAAAGAAAGAATTAAAGGAAGAGAGATAATGAAAGAAAGAAAGAATTAAAGGAAGAGAGAGAAAAGAAAGAATGAAGAGAGATAAGGAAAAGAAGAAGAATTAAAGGAGAAGAAATGAAAGAAAGAAAGAATTAAAGGAAGAGAGATTAGCATATTCTTGTGGCAGTGTTTATGATGAGTATTATATAAGTTCTTTAAGTTTTGTTACTATTTCTTGTATTCTTTTGGTGTATTTCAGGGTCGTTTTAATAATTTCTTTACATGTGTTAGGATAAAGAACATGTCAAATAGCCTTTAGGAAAAAGAACATGTCAGATAGCCCTTAGGATAAAGGACATGTCAAATAGCCTTTAAGATAAAGAACATGTCAGATAGCCCTTAGGATAAAGAACATGTCAAATAGCCTTTAAAATAAAGAACATGTCAGATAGCCCTTCAGATGAAGATCATGTCAAATAGCCCTTAGGAAAAAGAACATGTCAAATAGCCTTTAGGATAAAGAACATGTCATATAGCCCTTCAGATGAAGATCATGTCAAATAGCCTTTAGGATAAAGAACATGTCAAATAGCCCTTAGGAAAAAGAACATGTCAGATAGCCCTTAGGATAAAGGACATGTCAAATAGCCTTTAAGATAAAGAACATGTCAAATAGCCTTTAGGATAAAGAACATGTCAGATAGCACTTAGGATAAAGAACATGTCAAATAGCCTTTATGATAAAGAACATGTCAAATAGCCTTTAGGATAAAGAACATGTGATATAGCCCTTCAGATAAAGAACATGTCAAATAGCCTTTCAGCCTTCAGATGAACATGTCATACAGCCCTTCAGATTAAGAACATATCAAATAGCCCTTAGGAAAAAGAACATGTCAGATAGCCCTTGATGATAGCCTTTAGGATAAAGGACATGTCAAATAGCCTTTAAAATAAAGAACATAGCCCTTGATTTGAACTGTGATATGATGGAGCAAGAATATGGAAGCGTGTCGGGTATTGCCAAACTCACAAGCTGGTATTATTAAGCAGCCTCTGTTGAAACGTGTCTGTTATATGGATGAGATTTTCTTTGTTGTTTGTTATTTTGCTTTCTTTTTCTTACCTTTCTTTTTTTTCTCTCTTTCTCTGGCGCTCTCGCTTTCGCTTTCTTTCTTTTCTCTATTTCTTTCTCTTTGTCTTCTCTCTCTTCTCTCGCTTGCTCGCTCGCATACTCGCTCTCTCTCTCTCTCTCTCTCTCTCTCTCTCTCTCTCTCTCTCTCTCTCTCTCTCTCTCTCTCTCTCTCTCTCTCTCTCTCTCTCTCTCTCTCTCTCTCTACTGAATTAGAATTTAGATTTTAAACACGCACCTAAACATTTAATCCGACGACGAAAACCATGAATCAGATTACGACCAAACTCACATCATAAATCGTATTTTTTAATAATCAAAACAATACCCAAGAGCAGTTAATTTTCACATTTTTTCTCCTCCTCGAGTCAAAGAATCAAACACTCATCCCTTTAAAGACATTCGTATGCAAATGAGAGTGAGAAACGATCCGATCTGATAAGGTTTTCACGAGCACGTACCTGCCCCTTGCTAGACACACCAAGGGGTGACTCGCTCCTGCTCGCTCGCCTTTGGGAAAGCTTTCGTTGGTACGTCTTTTTTTTTTGGGGGGGGGGTTATTCGTTGTATGACTGTTGTTGTTTGTTATTCATGGGTTGTAACTGTATTTTTTTATTTATTGTTATTTTATTATTTTTATTTTATATAATATATATAATATATATATAATTTATATATATATATATATATATATTAATTATTTTTTTTTTTTTTTTTTTTTTTTTTTGGGGGGGGGGGTTATTCACTGAATAACTTATCACTATCACCTGTCTTTTGTTTATTTTACTGTGTAATTTTATTTATTATTATTTTATTATTATTCATTTTTGCACGCATTTTTTTTTTTTTGGGGGGGGAGGCTTATTCATTGTCCAAGTTTGTCATTTATTGCTTATCATTATCATTATCACCTGTCACTCTCCTAATTATCGTAAAACTTCATAGGCTATTATTCATTACCAGCCTTTTTCTGCTAATCCACTGCATAATTGAATAATTAAATTCTCTATTGCCAGCAGCTGTTGCCATTTTATTCACTGCATCGCTGTACATATTATTAATTACCACCAACTGTTGTCTGTTAACATATTACATAACTTTATTTTTCGCGCCGGAAAAAATCCTGCTAACAAGTCATCACATTTCGGCGTGACATAAATTTGACTAAATATGAGAACAGATTAGTTAAACAAGCACGCTGCATATTTTCATTTTCGAAAACACAACACAGCTCTTGGGAATTGCCAAAAGGAATATATATTATCACAGTGTCGAAAAAAGGAATATTTATCACCACAATGTCCAAATAAAGAATATATGTTTCCACAATAAAATGGATATATATCTCCACA